TTTGGAAAATGTATGTGTGGTGTATGTAAACAGAGTTTTTGCCGTAAATCAATGTTTTCTCAAAAATCGCTGGGACCTATTTCAGAATTTAAAAGCCATTTGATGTATCTCGATAAGGATTATCGAGATTTGTGCGACGATCCGCCAAGCCATTTCTTTGTAATTTGGAAAAAAGTGTTAATTAATTATCATTCACATTTAGGCTCATACTACCGAATAAATTTTAAAAAATCAAAACCTGTTCGAAGAATATTAGTTAAGAATGATACTGATTAGTTTTAGGCGAAAATCTACCGAGCCGTTGTTTTGTAATTAACTGTTGAAAAAAATTAAGCCGATTTTTATGGAACTTTTTTTGGCGTTATATATCATGGTCTTATAGAACTTACTGAAATATTACGGCCGTACGACAAGTAGTTTAATTTTAAAAATTCATCAAAGTTTGAGAAAACAGTAGTATATTTGGCGTTTGTTATAATTAAAATTAGTCGATTTAATTAGTATAACGATAGAGTCCTTGGTCTTAATGAACATACTAAACCATTAGAGTCCTACGGAAACTGGTTCAATTATAAAAATAATTGATTTTTGAAAACTTACTTTTAGAAAATACTCCGTGTTCGTTCGTTTTCAATTATGTGTAATAAATCCACTCAGAATACTTTTAATCACTCATAAATTTATTTATTTTTTACTGATTAAGTCGATTATTTATACATATCGGGAAGTTCATGTAACTTGCCTCAAGGAAAAATACCAATACCAAATAGTTTTTTAATATTTTCTTGTCAGCCCTATTTTAGACAAAATCTTAAATTTATTTCCAAATATCACAATTAATCTAAAGTCCGTATTCGTGATATAATCTTTGAAGTTGCGTCATTGTTCTAAATTGTTATTTGATTGTTGTCGGATTCTTATTAGAAAACAATTGATATCAGAAATCAGGTTATTACGAATTACTCATAATCAAGGTATTTAGGAAAGATTTATATTGCTGATGAAACATTGATTGAGGAATTATTATATACTTATTCATAACTTGGAAAAATAAAATGACTCATAAATCGTTTTATTAACACCACGTAGTTAATAAGTTCTAAATATAATTTATATTTATCCAATAAATTCATATAGATTATCATATCAAATTTCAACTAGCAGTATAAAATTTAGATTTCTCCTATATTTTTAAAATCTTATATAATATATTTTAGCACATTAGCAGTTGTATATTTTAACAATAATAACTTCCCGAAGGAGAAGTTTATGTTTTCATCAAAAAATCCGATTCGCTAATTTTATGTTTTCTCGACGTTTCAAGCCATTCTGAATCGAATGAGACCAAATTTGGAAAAAGTATGTGTGTGTGTGTGTGTGTGTGTGTGTATGTGTGTGTGTGCGTGTGCACCAACAGATTTTTTGCCGTAAATCGACGTTTTCTCGAAAACGGCTGGGTCGATTTCAAAATTAAAAGCCATTCGATGTATCTCGACGAGAACTATTGTTTGTCAGTTTTGTGCGACGATCGGCCAAGCCGTTTCTTTATAAATGGCAGAAAAGTGAAAAATTTTCGTCTACGTTTTAGCCCGCAATTCTGAATCGATTTTGAAATTCAAAAACCGTTCGAAAGATATTGGTTGGGAATCGTGCTGATTAGTTTTTGGTAGAGATCGGCCGGGCCGTTTTCTTGTAATAAAGTTTTAAAAAAAAAAATTTGACGATTTTTATGATTATTTTTTTGACGAAAGATACCATAGTTTTCTAGGTCATACTAAAATATTACGGCCCTACGACAACTGGTTCAGCTTTAAAAATTCGTCAAAGTTTGCAAAAATCAGTATGGTCTTTTTGGCATTTGTCAAAATTAGACTTTTGATCGACGTTTTCTCAAAAACGCCTGAACCGATTTTAGAAATTTAAAAGCCATTTGATGTATTTCGGTGAGGACTATCGTTTGTCAGTTTTGTGCAACTATCTGCCAAGCCGTTTCTTCGTAATTTGAAAAAAAGTGTTGAACTTTTCGTCCACATTTAAGCTCATCCTACCGAACCGATTTTGAAAAATCAAAAACTGTTCGAAAGATATTAGTTGGGAATGATGCTGATTAATTTTAGGTGAAAATCTACCGAGCCGTTTTCTTGTAATTAACTGTTGAAAAAAAGTGTTAAATTTTCGTCGACATTTAAGCTCATCCTACCGAACCGATTTTAAAAAATCAAAAACTGTTCGAAAGATATTAGTTGGGAATGATGCTAATTAATTTTAGGTGAAAATCTACCGAGCCGTTTTCTTGTAATTAACTGTTAAAAAAAAAATTAAGCCGTTTTTCATGAAACTTTTTTTGGCGATATACATCATGGTCTTATAGAACTTACTGTAATATTACGGCCTTACAACAAGTAGTTTAATTTTAAAAATTCGTCAAAGTTTGCTAAAATTATTATCGTTTTTTTTAAAGTAGGATTAATGAAGTATATTATTTACACATTTTTTTTTGATTAAGTCGATTATTTACACATTTCGGGAAGTTCATGTAACTTGCCTCAAGGCTAAATACCAAACCAACTAGTTTTATCATGTAAAAAACAATTTATTGCTCTAAAGCTTACATTTATCCGATTTTTATCAAACGTTGGTGGTGCAAATTTATTTTATTTATCAAGAGACCCATATACGGTGTCGGCAAGATATTTGGATAAAACTTTGATCGATTTTTTATGCAAATTTTATTTAAGAGCCATAAAATAAATTGCGTGTTGAAATCATTTAGTTTTAGTATAAATAAATCCAGGTGACACGTTTTATTACGAGGAATAAAAAATTGCAGTTGGAGATTGCATCAGTAGTATATATATATATATATATATATATATATATATATATATATTAGTTGACCCGGCAAACGTTGTTTTATCATAAAAATTATTTCTAGTATAAAATGATTAGTATACTAATAACTGATTGCAAGCGTGGTATATACGTAAAAGGAGCAGCTAACAAAAAATATATCAATAGTTTATTCACTGCAAAGCATGCCACATATAAATGTTCCTGTGACATATTAATAGTCTTTGCAAGTGCCAACCGAATCTCAAACCGATTTTATTTAAATTGATTTGGCACATTAAAAGATTCAAGATTTTTATATATTATAACCGTGCTTCTTAATAATTCAATGATTTTTAATTACAAGCAAAATCCGATCATTTATTATTAAATTATATTGTTATGTAGCATCCACAGCAAATTGGCAGAGATTGAAAAAATTAAGAGAGTGGAAAATTTTACAGCTTTGCCATAGATTTGTATTGTGGCTAGTTTCCTATAAAACTATTCTATCTTCTGATTTTAAAATTCAATATCTCAATTTTCTGCAAAATGTGCTCTCTATGCAATCCATTTAAAAATTTTGTACTGTTTGTGCGCATCGGGAAATATTTGTATAAATAATAAAAATAAATTGTTTTTTTTTTTGAGTAAAATTCATGCTTTATCATAAGGTTAGTTAAATATGAATTAAAATTCAGTAAAAAAAAAATCACTGACTAGAAGCGTGTTAAAAAATTATTCGATTTTTGATATTTAGATATCAAGAAATGAAGATTTGTGGAAAAAGGGTATTTAGAGTTGTATGCATTTTTTAATTCCGCATTATAAAAATTGAAATTTTAAAGTAAATTGGTTGCAAAATTTAAAAAAAAGTTAGGAATAGACACCCTTGATAAAAATAAATAGTGTTTTTTAAGTAAAAAGATGTATTTTATGTATTTTTCAATTTCGAAGTATAGAAAAGTAAATTAGAGAAAAAAGTAAATCTGTTGTGTGCATTTTTTTAATCCTGCATTAAAAAACATAAAATAATGAAAATTGACGCCAAAAAATCTACGATTTTTAATTTATGTATTGCCCTAAAGATTTAGTCTCACATATTTTACTTATGATAAAACATGAATTTTACTTGAAAACAGAAAAATTTTATTTTATTAAGGGTTGTCCACCCTTCCCATTATTCTATTGAACAATTAGAAGAGCACTTTTTGCAAAAATTAAACAGTTTGAATTTTAAAATCTGAAGATAGTTTTATAGGAAACTAGGACATATGTATGTGCGATATAAGTATATGGAATTGAACTCAACTAGTAGTGCATGGCATCGTGCCTTAAGGCAAAGTTCCTGTACCGAAAATAAAATTAGAAAAAAAACTTTACAAAAATTATGTTTTTGAGAAGTTTTGAATTTTTTTAAAAAAATTGACTTTTTTGAAAAATTAGATTTTTTTCTGTATTTTGTTTTTTTTTTGTTGAAAATTTTGAACATTTTTTTAAAGCAATCGCTCTGCATTGCTGATTTGGAGTCTGAATATCAAAGCGCAAAATCATCGACAGAAAATTGTATCCGCACATAAACACACAAATAAACACACATACATCCATTTTGTTTAAGGTATGCCAAAATGTTCAGAAACCATCAAAACGTGAAGATATTGTTAAGTATTTGCCTTCAGCGATGGAGGTAATTTTGGTATTTTAAAACACAACACAAGTTTTATAGATTTATTACAGACTACAGATATTATTATACAGAACTTCATTAAACGTTATTATAAGGTTATGTGTTTCTTTTGGAGTCCAGAGAGAGAATGTGCCTTTGTGATAATTGTAGAGGTCCTCCGTCCAGCCGGAAATATAGAGTGCATAGAATGTAGAGTGGAACTCGAGAGATGTAGAGTCCATAGAGTAATACATGTGGTAGTATGCACATAGAGGCATAAATGTGACGGTAAATAGGTAAGAGTGTCGGCGCATAACAATATGCAAAATATATGCGTGAAGATTACTATAATTTACTCTACGGGAAGATAAATATACTATGTATATTTTCTTTTACAGTTCGATGGGTCTCGGAGGTCCCTGGCTCGACCTATCCTCTTCCACGCCGTCTTCGCCCGGTGCCCGAGTGGCCCGAGATTCGGCCCTTCTGTGCTCGGACACGGCCGGATTGACTCCGGGCCAAACCAAATTGTGTTTGGAGCACCCGGAACACATGGAAGGCGTCGGTCATGGGGCCAAAACGGCCCTGGCCGAATGCCAACATCAGTTCCGGGAGATGAGATGGAACTGCTCGACGACGGGCAGACCGGGAGATGCTGCGGTCTTTGGGCCAATGTATAATATAGGTGAGTGGGAAAATTTAGATATGTATATATATATATATATATATAATATATATATATATATATATATATATATATATATATAGATATAGACATGCTACATATAATTTCATAATAAATATTTACAAAACTTTCCTAAATGGTATCTAATAAGTATTACTTGAAATAAATGATATTTCTTTCGTCATAATTAAAAATAAGTAAATAAGTTTTAACAATTTCATAATTTCCAACTTAAAATGACAAATCTTGAAACAATTACAAATTGATATCTTTATATTGAATATGCTAGTACTAATTCTTCATGTCCTTATATTAAATGTCTATGTCCTTATAAAAATACTCGAATTAAATTTATTAAAAAATAATCAGTTGTTTCTGATAGCTTTGGTGCCTGTTTAGAAATGCCATTTTTCTTAAAAATATATGCCATTTCTATATTACTATAATCTATATTTGCAAATGAATGCAAATTATACCACATACGTGTTCTATTAGTTTTAGATTATTTTTAAATCAGAAAAAATTGTTTATTTTGTTACTTTTTATATTCTATTCTAAATCATATTCTATTTTAGATGGAAAATTATATTATCTATTTTTTACACTTTTGCCAATGTAGAGGTTTAGTTGGTTCTTCTAACGATGTTATGCCCGATTACTAGACTTTGTTAATATATATATATATATATATATATATATATATATATATATTTATATATATATATATATATATATATATATATATATATAAACTAGCTGACCCGGCAAACGTTGTTTTGCCACATAAATTATTTTTAAGATAAAATGTTCAGTATAAAAATAACTGATTGTGAAGTGAAAGGGACACTTAACAAAAAATATATGAATAGTTTACTCACTGCAAAGTACACCACATATAAATGTCTCTTAATAGTCTTTGCAAGAGCCAACCTGATCTCAAACTGTTTATATTTAAATTGTTTTGGCACATTCAAAGTTTCTAGATTTTGATTTATTATTACCCCCGTTTTTTCATAATTCATTAGTTTTTTAATTGCGGAGCAAAATTTATATTTAATATAAATTTTGTTATTTTGATAATTTTTGACAATTTATCTTTAAATTATATTGTTATGTGACATGCCCAACGAGTTGACTGAGATTGAAAAATATTGAAAGAGTGGAAAATTTTACAGCTTTACCATAAATTTGTATTCTGCTTAGTTTTCCATAATACTATTTTATCTTTAGATTTTAATATTCAATCTTTCTATTTTGTGAGGTTTAGTTGGTTCTTCTAACGGTTATATAAAAAACTTGAGTCTAACGTAAAAATAATAATACAACGTATAAAATAGTAAAATAACTTATACCTAAAAATATATTTAACTATCGTAAACTAAACAACAGTACTCAAAACCAAAAAAGCAACGAAAAAATACTTTCGTTGAAAAATTGACAATGTGACATTGTGTGGGTGATGGCTGGTTACACATCTTTTGCCCTCTACTTTGAAACAGTATTGTTAAAAATATCATTGGGTAAAGCGCGGTTAGGTCTGTGAATAAAAAGGTTTACCACTGATATCTCAAAAACAAGTGAATTTAGGAATTTTTTTAAAATCAATATTTGAAAGTAGAGAGCAAAAGATGTATAACCAGCCATTACCTTATTTTTTACGACGACACTATCAGGAGATTAATAAAAATTTGACGACAAAAGTTTTTTTTTCGATGTTAGTATTTTCAAATGTTTTATAAGATGAATTGTTATTTTTAAGTTTGATTCAACAGTTTTTTTTATATAAACTCTATAAAAGCTTACATGTGGCTGGAGTACAAAGGGTTAACTGAACTTTTACCCTGGCAAAAGTGTGATTAATGAAAAATAATAAATAAAAAAGTAAATCATGTTAAAAAAAATTACAAGAGATAGGTTAAATAAATAGTTTTTTCAACTTTGCTGATGATTATTTGTGATGAAATACTAGATCAAGATTGTATACAGTGTTGTCTTTGTAAAAAATGTACTCATGAAATTTATATTTCGCATTGGTTGAATAATGTGGCTAATATTTTGTAAAATTTATCAAAATTAAAAATACGACATTGGATCTGTTTGGGTAAACAGAACTTGGTAACAAATTTTTGGAAAACAGCAAAAAACACATTTCTACAATGATGAATTTTGAAGAGTTTTACTGAACATAGTTATATAGTTATTTGTTTTATGTGTGTTATTTGTTGTGATATAATTTGTTTGGTTTTCACAATATAATTGCTCAAAATCAAATTGAACTTTATGTTGGACCTTTAATCCTCGTTCTACCCCACATAATAATAAATCGCTTACCTTCACAAAAATAGGTCAAAATGCCATCCCATTTACCATAAATTTAATTTCCCAAATCATTACTAATTTTAATAACGCACCATTTATTTTTACGACGAAACCTCACGTATTCCGCATTCACCAAACGTTGTGCATGTCTGAAATGCATATATCAAAGCAACCCTCTTAAATCTCGAATTCACAAAATCCTCCCCTAAACGCAATTGTCATGCAAACTCTGCTATTAGATGAGACGACGACGGAGGTCGGACCCTTATTATTATTATTCAGGCTCCCTGTTTCTTGTAATTTAATAACCTCCGAGATAAACATCGAATTTCGACATAATTCTCGGTTGAACAAATGTAATTGGGTTAATGGTATTATGATATCAATTACGGATCGCCCCGAGCTGCCAAAGGGTGGAAAAACGATTTTTGATACGGGTGCATTATTTTTGGATATTGGGATTTTATGAATTTTGTATTGATTTATATTGCGAATATTGGCATTTGTCAGTTTTCATTACTATTTAACCGAGTATATAAATACGTCAATGACAGTCTAAGTTTGGCTCCTAAGTGCAATAAGATATTATTCAAAATTGGAAAATTTTTGTTACTACATGTTACTTTTTTATTGACATGAGCTTTTGTTACATACGTAAACCTAAAAACAGAATAAATTTAATGAAAAACTATTGGTGCATGGCATCGTGCCTTAAGGCAAATTGTTGTAACTTTCTGTAACAAATATTAATTTTTTTTAAAAAATGATGAAACTTTTTTTTAGAACTTAGAACTTAGAACTTAAAAAAAAAACGTTTGAGATTAACAATTTTTTTGAAAAAAAAATGACCATTTTCATAACTTAAACCACGGGAAGTTAATTATACATATAAAAGTGAAAACTTAAATGATTTGCTATGGAACATCCTGAAATATTATAGGCCTACGAAAAGTGGTTTAATTATAACAAAATCATGAAAGTTTGAATTTAGTACTCTTAGTACAGTTTAGATATATTGCGTTCTGTGTTTTGTACTGATTACCGTTGATCTGTACTTTTTAATAAAATACATTTTTAAAAAATGAGTTAGAATAAACTAAATATATTTGTTTGTTCAGAAAGATATTAAATAGAAATCGATTTGATTAGATTTTGGTAAAAAAAAAACATTATTTTTAACTATTTCGACTAATTCGATGGGTCGATTATTTTCAAATATCGAAGAAAGTTCATGTAACTTGCCCTAAGGTAAAATTTCACTTACAACTACTTATCTCATACAGTCATAACCTCAAAATATTTTAAATATTTTGATTTGAGAATATTTTGATTATTATCATAAACTGGAATACATAAAATTCTGCGACCTTCCCATAGTATAGTATACTCTCATACTATACTATAAGTATAGTTTATAGTTTATAGTTTGGTGAAAAGTCTCAAACATAAAAAATTGCATCTCTAAACGCTTTATTGTACGTTACATAATCATGAACATTACCAAGAAGTAGTGTATATTAGGCGAAATTAAAACCGATTTACTTCCTGAAGGAAAAATTCATTTTCTCGCCAAAAAAATAAATAGACTTTAGCAAGGTTTTAAGCTTTACAAAAGCCCAAAATTTTCAAACTACATTGCATAGAGTTTTCTGATTTTTCTCATATTAAGGTGAATGAAATATCACAATTTACTAATTATAGGTGATGTCAATTTTTTCAAATATTAATTCTTTTTACAAGTGCTTTATACGTAAATATTAGTGATGTGGATTCGTAGATCATTTATATTATTATTTTTTATTAAAAAAAAAGTACATGAAATATTCCTTCAGAAGTATTTTAAAATTATATAATTATCATAAAATCAATATTTATTTTAATAAATTGTTTTTAACAGGAAAATCTGAGCGTACTTAAATTAGAAATGTTGTAATAAAACACCTATAAAAACTTTTTTTTTACTTAGGAAAAAACAATTCTGAAAAAAACAAAAGTATATATCATGCTTCTTTCATAACCTCAATAATGTTTACACATCTGTTTAGTATAAAAAATTCCCTTTTTCTAAATTCATTCTCTTATGCCCTTTATAAATGCAATTTAATATTGCATTTCAAAACAAAAACTTGAACATGTTTTTCTGTGATGAAATTCTACATAAGGTAACTCACGATATGATACAGATATAAAGACATATCTATATTGTTTCATATTTTACTAAAAATAAAGAGCAGAAAAGTCATGAAACATGTTTTGCAATATTTTGAACTAATATCAGGAAAGATAGAAGTGCTGTATATGAACAAGGGAGTATTCTTTAAAAATATCATAAAACATTACTATTGCAAACATTTATTTTGTGTGTATATAATGAATTGCTTCACATTGTTCTATATATGTATATAAAATCAGCTTCTGATTTTGTTATTCAAATCCTATTATATAATAGTATACTCTAAGTTTAATACTACTCAAAGTGTTCCTAATATTTATTTCTCTTAAACTGCAAAATATTTCAATAACTAATATTTTACTCATATTGGACCATTTTTATTCCACATTTTCAAGATAAATGTGTTCACAAACAATAAGAACAACATTCCGTGTCTGTGTCTCCTCATATGTCAACGTATAAAGATATCAACAGAAATATTTCTACGATATATTTTTCAAGAAATAAT